CTTTGATAGCCGTGCAAAAATATATGTCTAATGCCTGGTAAAAAATACAGTAAATGAGCATAGGCACTCTTGAAAAAGAGAATAATATTAAGTTCTAACCGGACAGCATATCGTTGGTCATGACCAATATATGTTGTACCGTATCAACTCGTTGCATCTTTCCCAAGAGACTTGTATAAAGTTCAGCATATCTATCTGCATCCTTCAAATCGATAATACAATAGATCAAATACCAATTTAAGATTAATTAAGCATAAAAATTCGAGGGAGGCACTCAAAATAAACCTTTTGCATGACCAATCTTAATTGTTCGCGACTTTGCTTATCAATACGTTTCAAAAGGTCAAGTTCCTCTTGTGTAATTAATCCGGCCTTTTGATAACCCTAAAATAAGAGAATGTATACAGTAAACTGAATTATTATCTAGTGAATTCATAATTTAATATTAAATAACTATCATAAATATAGATTCGTCCTAATTTGGAAGACTTGAACAAAATACCTCCCACGGAATTGGGCGCGCGCGTATGTCTTCCGTAAGTTCATCTAAATATGAATTAAAAACGAACGCTAGAGGGACATCAGGAACAGAGTCATCATTTAAATTCGTAGAAGCCATCTTTCAGTAAATGATAATTTGATTGAAAACTAAAAGATGAAAAAGAGTGTGATTTGCAACGATCGTAGATAATCTCCGAGCTCGATATTGATTATGTAATCGATCTCCAGGGGTATAAATTCATCACCCGACGCCTTTAATTAGTTTTAATTAGCGTTAGACATATTAATTACATATCACAAGAACTTGAATTAAGAATGTACAATTCTCGTAATATGGCTTCAACAGCGCTCAAGCGCTTGATGACTGAATACAAAGGTACTATCTTATTTAAAAATAAAATATCAAAGTTGAATACTGAGTTATCTCTGTCTTTTACAGAATTGACACTGAACGCACCCGAAGGGATAACTGCAGGTACATTTTCCTGAATCAAGTTGTCTAGGTTTGTTTAAGGTTTAATAATGAAAAGATTAATTAAAGGGCCCATAAACGAGGAATCCTTTTTCGAATGGGAAGCGCTTATAGCGTATGTAACATCTGCTTATTTATACAACATTGCTATTTTATAAGCTTAACCGTTGAATTTGAAATTTCAAGTGGGCCTGAAGGAACGCCTTATGAAGGTGGTATCTTTCCTGCAGTGCTCCGATTTCCATCTGATTATCCATTGTCACCTCCAACCATGAAATTTACATGCGATATGTTTCATCCTAATGGTATATATATATTTTTTTAATCAATCGGCACATCTAATTGTCTTAATAGTTATAATATTTATTATAAATACGGTTTATCCAGATGGAATGGTTTGCATATCAATTCTTCATCCACCCGGTGACGATCCGAACATGTATGAAAGCTCTTCTGAGCGTTGGTCACCAGTTCAAAGTGTCGAGAAAATTCTATGAGAAAAAAATATTATTATATATTATAAACTACTCGTCAT